ACAAAGAAGGACACTACTTAATGATAAAGGGAGAAATCTAACAAGAGGATATAACCCTGGTAAACATTTATGCATCCAGCATAGGAACACCTAAATATGTAAAGCAAATTTTGATGTATATAAAAGGAGAGATTGATAGTAACACAGTCGTATTTGGGAATTTTAACACCCCATTGACATCAATGGATCAATCTTCCAGACAGGAAACAACAAGTAAACAGATGCCTTAAATGACACACTAGATCAGTTTAATTTAATTGATATATTCAGAGCATTTCACCCCAAAGCAACAGAATATACATTCTTTTCAAGTGCACATGGGACATTTTCTAGGATAGACCACGTTTGGACACAAAACAAGTCTCAGTAAATTTAAGAAGACTGAAATCATAACGCTATGATTATGACCATAACGCTATGATACTAGAATGCAATTACAAGAAAAAATCTGAAAAACACAGAAAGGCATGGAGGTAAATAACATGTGTCTAAACAATTAATGGGTTACAATGAGATCAAGGAAGAAATCGACAGATACCTTGAAACAAATGAAAAAGAGAACACAACAACCCAATATCTATGGGAGACAGCAAAAGCCACCCTAAGAGGGAAATTCATAGCATTTAGGCCTATCTCAAGAAACAAGAAAATCTCAAACAATCTAACTTAACACTTAAATGAATTTGAAAAACAAACATAAAAAAACAAAGTCCTAAGTGAGTAGAAGGAAGGAAATAATAAAGATCCAAGCACAAATAAAATAGAGCCTAAAGAATACACAAAAAAATCAATAAAACCAAGAGATGGTTCTTTGAAAAGATAAACGAGATTGACAAACCTTTAAACAGACTTGTCAAGCAAAAAAGAGAGAGGACCCCCCCAAAATATAATCAGAAATGAAAAAGGAGAAGTAACAACTGATACCAAAGAAATACAAAGGGCCCTGACCAGGTAGTTCAGATGGTTGGACTGTTGTCCCAATGCACCAAGGCTGTAGCTTCAATCCCTGGTCAGGGCACATAAAAGCATCAACCAATGAGTGCACAGAAGGATGGAGCAACAATGTTTCTTTTTCCCTTCTATTTCTCTAGAATAAATAATAATAAAAAATTTTTAATACAAAGGATTTTAAGAAAACACAATTATATGCTAACAAATTGGACAATCTGGACAAATGGGAAAGCTCCTAGAAAAATACAATTTTCCAACACCAAATCAGAAAGAATCAGAGAATCTGAATAGACAGATTACAACTAGTGAAATCCAAGCAGTAATCTAAAAACTCCCAATAAACAAAAGTCCTGGACTGGATGACTTCACAGGTGAATTTTACCAAGCATTCAGAAAAGAACTAACACCTATCCTCAAACTATTCCACAAATTCAAGAGGAGAAAAGACTCCCAAGCTCATTTTACAAGGCCAGCATCATCCTATGTCCAAAATCATGTAAAGGCACTACAAAGAGAGAAAATTGTAGGCCAGTATCCCTGATGAACATAGATGCTAAAATCCTCAACAAAATAGTAGCACACTGAATCCAGCAATGCATTGAAAAGATCGTACACCATGATCAAGTGGGATTTATTCTGGGGATGCAAGGTTGGTACAATATCTGTAAATCAATAAGTGTGATACACCACATAAAATAGGGATAAAAATCACATGATTTTATAGATAGATGCAGAAAAAGCATTTGATAAAATCCAGCATCTATTTATGACTTTTTAAAAAACCTCTCAGCAAAGTGGGAATAAAGAGAACATAATGAAGGCCATATATGACAAATGCACAGCCAACATCATACTCAGTGGGCAAAAACTACAATTGTTTCCCTTAAGATCAGAAAAAAGTGGGATGTCTGCTTTCACTACTTTTATTTTTATTTTTTACTGATTTCAGAGAGAGGAAAGAGAGGGGGAAAGAGATAGAAACATCAATGATGAGAGTCATCGATCAGCTGCTTCCTGCACGCCCCCTACTGGGGAGCTAGCCTGCAACCCAGGCATGTGCCCTGACCAGGAATTGAACCATGACCCCCTGGTTTATTGGTCAAAGCTCAACCACTGAGCCACCCTGGCCAGGCTGCTTGTACCGCTCTTATTCAACATAGTACTGGAAGTCCTAGCCACAGCAATCAGACAAGAAAGAGAAGTAAAAGGCATATATATTGGAAAGAAAGAAGTAAAACTGCCATTATTTGCAGATGATACTGTATATAAAGAACCTTATAGATATCACCAAAAAGCTATTAGAACTGATAAATGAATTTAGTAAAGTAGAAGGATACAAAATAAATATCCACAAGTGAGCTGCATTTTTTTACACCAATAATGAACTATCAGAAAGGGAAACTAAGAAAACAATCCCATTCACAATTGCTTCAAAAAGAATAAAATACCTAGGAATAAATTTATCCAAGGATGTAAAAGATTTGTACTCAGAAAATTATAAGACAATGAAGAAAGAAATTGAAGATACAAGTAAGTGGAACCACCCTTGTTCATGGGTGGGAAGTATTAACACCATTAAAATGTCCATACTACCTATAGGAATCTATAGATTCAACTATCAAGATACCAATAGCTGCCCTAGCTGGTCTGGTTCAGTGGTTAGTGTTGGCTGCGGACTGAAGGGTCTCAGTTGCAGGCTCGAACTCCAGCCCCAGTCAGGGCATGTGTGGGAGGCACCCAAAAGATGTGTCTCTCTCACATCGATGTTTCTCCTGTCTCTCTCTCCCCCTCCCTTCCACTCTGTCTAAAAAATCAATGGAAAAAAATATCCTCAGGTGAGGATTAACAAAAACAAAAAAGATACCACTGGCTTATATTGTTATTTCACAGAACTAGAAAAAATATTCCTAAAATTTTATGGATCCACAAAAGACCCAAATAACCACAGCAATCTTGAGAAAGAAAACAAAGAGGAATCACACTACCTGATCAAACTCTACTATAAAGCCGTAGCAATCAAACAGCATGGTACTGGCATGAAAACAGACATATAGATCAGTGGAACAGAATAGAGAGCCCAGAAATAAGCCCAGGCCTGTATGGTCAATTAATATTTGACAAAGGAGGCAAAAACACACAATGAGGTAAAGATAATCTATTCAATAAATGGGTGTTGGGATTATTGGACAGATACACTCAAAAAAATAAAACTAGACTACCTTGTTATACCACATAGCAGAATAAACTCAAAGTGGATTAAAGACTTAAATGTTGGACTTGAAATCACAAAAATCCCACAAAACATAGGCAATAAAATCTCAGACATTTTTTTGTAGCAATATTTTTTCTGATATATCTCGGGCAAGGGAAACAAAAGAAAAAATAAATGGGACTACGTCAAATTAAAAAGTTTTTGCACAGCAAAGTAAACCATCAACAAAATGAAAAGACAACCCACTGGATGGGAGAACATACTTGCTGATACATGTGATAAAGGGTTAATATCCAAAATATATAAAGAACTTATAAAACTGAACACCAAAAGACCCCAAGCAATCCAGTTAACAAATGGGCAAAGGATCTGAATAGACGTTTCTCTGAAGAGGACATACAGATGGCCAATAGGCATATGAAAAGATGCTCAGTGTCACTAATCATCTGAAATGCAAATTAAAACCACAATGAAATATTACCTGACACCTGTCAGAATGGCTGTCATCAATAAATCAATGAGTGTTGGCAAGGATGTGGGGAAAATGGAACCCTTGTGCACTGTTGGTGGGAATGCATATAGTTGCATCCATTATGGAAAGCAGTATGGAGTTTCCTCAAAAAAATAAACATGGAACTGCCTTATGACCCACTGATTCCACTTCTGGAAATTTATCCAAAGAAACTAGAAACACAAATTTAAAAGAATATATGCACCCCTATGTTCATTGCAGCATTATTTACAATAGCCAGGATCTTGAAGCAACCCATGCCCATCAGTAGATGAGTGGATAAAAAAGCTGTGGGACATTTATACAATGGAATACTACTTAGCCATAAAAAAGAAAACCTTACTCTTTATGATGGCATGGATGAACCTAGACAGCATTATGCTAAGTGAAGTAAACCAGTCAGAGAAAGACAAGTACCATATGATTTCACTTTTACATGGAATCTAATAAACATCACGAACTAACAAGCAAAATAGTGATGGACTCAGATAAAGATTAGGCTGACAGCCATTGGGATAGGAGCTGTGTCTGGGTGGGGATAGAAGGACTGAGCAAAAAGGAAAAAACTCATGGACACAGATAACAGTGTGGTGACTGCTGAGGGGAGGAGGATGGAGGGACATGGAGGAACATAGAGTGGGGATACATGGTGATGGACTTGGGGTGGTGCACACACAATACAGTGTACAGATGATGTGTCATAGAATTGTGCACCTGAAACCTGTATAATTTTGTTAACCAGTGTCATCACAATAAATTAAATAAAAAGAAAGAAAAGGAATGGCTCTTGGAGGACTGGAATGTTACCATTAGTTCAGGCCTCCATGTTGCCTTAAAAGGCAAGATTGGCAAATACAAGGGGAATGTGCAAGCCAGAAAAAAAGAACCAGGAGGCTCTGATTCATGGCACTCCATCTTTGGTGATACTTCGGCAGGCCTGAACCCTTCTGTTGGGAATCCCAAAACTTGGGGATCTTGCCTGTCCCCGAGGACAGAGGACCAGCTCCTCTTGCCAGGCTGGCTGGCTGCACTTTGGGAGCAACATCATAGTTATCTCTTGTGGCTGTGTAATGTGAGTCAGCTCTCACACACTCCTCCAGAAAACAGGCCACCAGGCCTACTCTGGGTGGCAGCACTAAGGGACTGGGGCCCAGTGCTCAGTTGAGTCACCTGGGCATAAAAGATTGGATTTCCTGCCACCAGCTCTTGTTTGCTAGCTCCAGGAGTATAGTCCTCTGCCCCTGCTCCCTCCTAGATTTTTCAGAAGTATGATTTTAAAGCAAGTGGCCAAGCCCCATGGTATTTTCTGGAGTGTTGGGCCCTCACCTCCCAGTCCTCTATTGAGCTCTGCAACTGAGCAATCTTATTGATGTTTTCAAGTCTCCATTTCCATTTGTTGATGAGCTGGATGACATTCTTCATGACATGTAAGGCAGTTTCCACATCCTTGAAATCCCTGGGGCAGAACAGAAATGGAAGAGGGCTGAGAGGTGGAGAGCAGATAAGGGCTGGGAGCCTCATCGAGCCCCAGGTGGAGCTGCTTCCCTCTGGGGCCCCTTAACTTATTAATTTCTTCACCTGTCAATGCACACCCCCATCTTCTCCATAAGTGCCACATAGAGCAGAACATAAAATTCTATTTCTGTCCTCTTCCCTCATTCCAACAATAGCTCGTGAGAGCAGGAATGGTTTTACTCTGCTGTCACCCCAGTACCTACACACCAGGAGTACTCAACAAACTGGCTGACCCAAGGCATGAGGAGCCTCTGGCTGTCTCCCTCCTTCAGCAGCCTCCTACCTGTGCTGGGGGAGAGTGTACTCGAGCAGCTCAACCAGCTGCAACAGGTACTTGCAGATCTGCAGTGGGGTCAGCAGGAAATCGTCTAGGGAGATGTTGACCTTTTGCAGCAGGCAGCAGGCCTCAAAGAAGTACATGTACTGACTGAGCTTGGTGAGCCGGGAGAGCTCCATGCAGGCATTGGGGTGGTTGTTGCAATACTCTGAGTAGATTTGGAAGTTTGCTTGCTGGGGGGCACAATTGGAGGTTAGGATGGCTGTCTCCCCAGCAGGCACCCAGCATGTGTGGGTGGGGCAGGAGTGGGAATCTCTGCATTTCCTTCAGGAGTTGCACTCGGCGCCCAGGTTCTACATACTGCATTGGCCCAAGCTACAGTAAGTCACACGTAGGGATGCAAAAGACCTCTGAAAGCTCCAGCATGTGCTATCCCTGTCACCATGGGGCTTTCTCAGCAGGACACTCATCAGATACTTTGACTGACATACAGTCAAAATATCTTTTTTTTTGGATGACATCAATGATGCTAATAAGAAAGGCCAGAAAGGAGAGAGAGGGAGAGGGAGGGAGACAGAGACAGAGACAGAGATGGAGACGGAAGGAGAGGAAGATAGAGTCAGTGGATGCCAGGGTCCATGATTGTGCTTCCTGGGTTTTCATTCTCAGTCCAGTGTCCTGCTTCTTCCTTGCAAAGTCCTAGCCTTTCTTTCCTTTTTTTTTGTTTAAGGCTTCATCTACCTGGAGCCAAAGGAAGGCCAGGCCTGCCATGTAGTGATCTATGACATCATGGACTTAAGTGACCAAGGAGGGTAACAGCTGCTGGCTGGTGGTGGGTTTCTGTGATGCTCACACTAGGTGATATCGATAAAGTGCCTGTTTCCATCCCTCCAGTCACAATTCAGCCTGCTGAATAACTGGACCCCAATCCCACACACACTCAGGTGTTTAGACCCAGCCTGCTCCTGTGCGTGGACAGACCAAAGTCTCCCTTCCCAACCCCCACTGGAACCACATTGTCCCTAATGGGCTGGGGTTGGCATCCTCTGCTCAACTCCACAGCTCACAGGAGAGGCATAAAACCTGTGCCTTCCCTATCAGGCACAGGAGTTCATCTAATCCAGACCAGTCCAGGGAACCTTGACTAAATAAATGCCAGTTGGCATTTGAAGTGGAAGTAAGCAATGTAAATTACACATAAATTTGCTCACTGTATGAAGAACCCCAGAATTTGCTATGAAAAGCCTATCAGGTGCTCAACAGGCAGCCCAGCCTACCTCTGCCCTCTACTCTGGCCCAGGAAATCCTGGGACTGATCCCAAGCCCACTGCTCCAAGGAGCCTTCGCTGATGTGGTCTCCCACAGAACCAGCCACACTTCTAAAACAGTGTTGAAGAATGAGGGCATTGGGCAGGCGATGGAGTGGAACCTAGAAACTTCCTAGAAAAGAGTAGCAAGTTGCCTGGCCTTTAGCCTGCAGGGTGACTTCTGAGTGGGCAGGTGGGCTAGGGCATGGGAGGGGGTCGGCAGGCTGAGGATCCCCCAGCACAGGTGGGTGGGCAGGGACAGACTGGGGTGGACTCACCTGCTCCAGGAAGCAGGCGCCCAGCTCGCTCGGGTGGGAGTGCTCCCTGTTGAACGTATGCTCCAGGGCCTTCAGGAAGGCCTTACGCACTGGTAGATGTGTCCTTGATGTTCCCGAAGATGGTGCGCAGCTGCTCCTTGCTGAACATGTCGGAGCGCTTGCAACACTGCCTGATGTAGTCCTGGGAACAAGGTCGGGGTGGTCAGGTCCCGGCTTGAACCAGCGCACCCTGCACTGCACAGGCGGCCTCACCTCGCGGATATCCTGCAGGTGCTTGTTATAGTCTTGCTCTGTGCTGAAGATCTCATTGATGATGTTGGTTCCTGCTGCTGCTCTGCGCCTTGGCTCTGCTATCCCCCGTCCTCAGCGCTTCATTGTCCAAGGGCTCCTCTTGGTTCACCTGCAGCTGCAGGCAAGGCTGCCTGGCAGCGCTAAGCAAGGATCGACGCCCCTCATGTCTGTGGCTGTGTGGCAACTGGGTGTCTGAGAGCTGTTAGGGTGCACAGGGGCAAGCTCCCGCCACCCTCGCCACCTTTGAACAATGCTCATCTGGACAGGGGGACTTCAGGTCCAATGACCATTGCTGTTGTCAGTGTCATCTGAGACCACGCCTCCTCCAGAGTGCCTTGCTCTTCCTCTTCTACTTACACTTGGCTGTGCTGGACACAGGGGTTAAAACAGAGGGATTGCTCACTATAATTTCTGAATTGTGCCTGCTCTTTAGGAACTGGGCTCTTTAGGAACCATGAGAGAAGTGGATGGTGACATGGCTTTGGTGGCTCTCTGACCCATGACTAGGGAAGTTTAGGGAGTCTGGGCAGGGAAAGCAACAAATGGAATTCCAGTGCCTAGGATCTCCCCTCCCTACTGTCCTCTGCACCTAGATTCCTTCCTTGAAGACCAAAGGTCTCCTTAGGGAGAATCTGGGTCCCTCCCTGCGAAGTGTTGGGCTAAGGACCTAACTTGTCCATGCCTCAGGTATAGGTGAGGTTTCCAGCTCCCAGGGCTGTTGTGAAAGTTATAACTGAGAGGACTCAGGTGAATGTCCTACGTGATGCTTAGTCAATACTTGGTAAACCAAGTTGTCTGTGGTGGTGTTCTCCCCTTGGAGAGATCCACACACCTTTATTCTGACCTATTCCTCTCTGGCTACTGAGGGGCTCCTGGAAGGAGGGGTGGGAACAGGTGTTGGAGTTAATGATGGCTCTGCTGGAGGAGGAAGGCTATGTCACAACTGCCTGGACTGTTCCTGACCCTCACGCACCCAGCTCATAGCTGGGAATGGGAAGTCCATGCCCAATACCAGAGCAATTTCAGGCTTGAGTTTCTGAGCAGAGCAAGTTGGAGATTTATGGTCTTGGGGGAAGCTCAGGCCAGCACCATACCCGCACAAAGCTAGCTGGAAACCAGCTCTCGCCATCAGTGACACAGCCCCACCACCAGTCTCTGTTGGTGGCATCCATTACTTCGATGACATCCCCAGCTTTGAAGCCCAGTTCCTGGTTATCCATGGTGACAGTCCCAGAGTGCTTCCGCACAGACCACACTGCCATCACTGATGAGCTGTGGAGAGAGCCATGGACAGGCAGATTAGTGGAGTAAGGCTGCCATGGATCTCCTGATGGGGCAAGGTGCTACTGCCCTCTACGTCCACCCCTCAGCAGCCATGGGAAGAGGGGATCCTGACTCATGTCACAGAAGAGGGGATGGAGCATCTCTCTGAGCCAGCAGTTCTTTGGGGGGCAGGGTTATGCCCTGGGCATGCCTAAACTGGCAGAGCTCATGATGAAGTCTGAAGTGAACTTGATCACTAGAATCTTGGTAAGCCACAGAATCTGGAAGTCAGGCATGTTGCTTACTCCCCTGTACCGGGCACACCTTCCTCCCATCCCCATTGGGCCAGTGATGACACTATTATCTCTGAGCTTCATCTATTATCTCTGCTGAGATACTGGGGCTAGGACACTTCAAGCTGCATTTCTGTTGTGCCAGCTACTCCGCATTAGGTCTCCTAATGTGACATTAGAGGGGACCACAAAGCTGCAGGGATAAGGGGCATGCTCCATCCTGTTGGCTTCTTGTGGACTTGCATTACCTGTCAAGTCACCTGACAAGCAACAATGCTGCTTCACCCAGGTATGGCTGTGCCCAGACATTGAAACAGCTGGATCCAGTGTGCAATGTTTTTTGAACACTTGGCAGAACCAGTCTCATGGCATCACCACTGCCCCCAATCAACACCAATTAAGCAGTAACCCTCCTCAGAGTTCTAGGTCCCACACCCACAGGATTTTCAGTTCTAATTATTCCAACCTCCTTCCTCTATTCCCTAGGCCTAGAAGAGATAGGTAGCTCTTGCAGCTGCTCCCTCTGTAATAAATACCTCATGATTGTTGTGCAGTTGGTTACCAAGTCAGCCACTTTGTATCTGGCTAACACTCTTTGTATTAATTTCTCTCTGCTGCAATAATTGGTGTGGATCCATCTTCCTGCATAGTCATTGACCTCACATCAGGAGGTACAGAGAGTGCATGGACCTCACATTACATGGACCTCACCCCGAAATGCAGGCAGCCCTTGTGCTCCCAGCTCCATTTCCCATTGGGCTGACACCTACTTTCCTGGAATATGGACCCAGTTTCTGCTCCTCAAATAATGAATGTGCCCCCCATTAAGGGCAAGAGGAGGGGTGTTCTAATGAGGTGAGGTCCATGCCCCTCTCTGCTGGGACCAAGTGTGGCTCTGATTTTTACAGTCATGGGCTGGCTCTTTGGCTAAAAAGTCAAGCCCTTGCCCTGGTGAGGTGGCTCAGTTCGCTGGAGCATCATCCCATACATCAAAAGGTTGCAGGTTCAATTCCCAGTTAGGGTATATACCTAGGTTGCGGGTTCGATCCTCAGTCAGGGTGTGTACAACAGGCAACAGATCAATGTTTCTCACATCAATATTCCTCTCTCTCTCTCTCTCTCTCTCCCCTCCCCCCTCTAAAATCAGTAAACATATACTCAAGTGAAGAATTTTTTAAAAGTCAAGGCCTTGGCAATCATCAGACAGGCCTCCTGAGCTGAACTTCTTGCCCTGCTCCTCATGGGGTTGAGTTCCCCCTTGGCTTCAGGCACACTCGGGCCTTCCCTGGATGCTACCAGGCAGTATGAATGCTCATCCTCACAGAGAAATGGGACCCAAGAAGATCCAAGCAGGGATAGCTGTGTCTCCACCTGAGTGACTTCCATTTGCTGTCTAACAGGTGTTTATCATGCCCCAAATGGGCAGGATAAAGGGTGGGCAGGCTGCCTAGGCACAGGAGGCCACTCAGACTGGACCTTTCCTCCAGATAGGGCCTGAGCAAGCCCATGCAGAAACTACCAGTTCTTCGTGATTTCTGAGGGTTAAACCTGCTCCAAACCCTGATGAAAACCACTCCTGAGAATAATTGACACACTATTTATACACCTGCTCTCACATGCAGTAGCCTCTCAGGGGCTGCAGAGTTCTGAGGCCCACCCAGGGACTACAGCACAGAGCACTGGGATATTTCTGGAATGCTGCAAGTCTCCTCAAAGGACCACTGCACTTACCCAGCTAAAAAGATTTACTATAGGCACTTCTTCTGCAGAGATGCCTGGCCCCAGAATCAAGAGCTCCTGGCAGCAATATGGACAGGGTAAGACAAGAGGATTCATTGAGGCCACGTGAGAAGAACCAGACTGCTGCATGTAAGGAGCAGGAACTCAATGGGGCAGCTTGCAGTGCACAATCCACACAAGCAGACCACCATGCCAGGCCTTGGGGGTTCTGGCATGAGGACAAGAAAGAAGCAGAGTACTCAAAGGTGGTCCACATGAGCCAATGAGAATGCAGGCTGCAGGTGAATGTCCCCATTCAGGGACAGTGGCCATAGGTTAGTATGAGCATAAGAGCAGAGGGTGTGTGACCACAAGTGACTTAGGCATCAGGACTGAGGGTGCATGTGACTATGGGTGAGTATTATCATCAGAATAGAGAATATGTTTGACCACCAGTGAGTGTAAGCATCAGAACAGAGAACTGGTGTGACCATAGATGAGCATGAGCATCAGGTGTGAGTGTCAGGACAGAGGGTGTGTAACCACCAGTGAGCATGAGCATCACAACAGAACCTGTGTAACCACAGGTGCTAGTGAGCATCAGGACAGAGGGTGTGTGTGACCACAAATGAGTGTGAGCATCAAGACAGAAGTCCTGTGTGACCTCAGGCACATATGTGCATTATGAAGATTTGTATGTTTTAATGAGACAATGACTTAATGAGACAATGGAACTTCTTGGGTAAACTGAGGTTTGGATCCAGCACGTAACAAGACTTCTTGTTCAAGTTTTGTAGTTTTGATCCTGGAGAAGTGGGTGTTCTAAGACTCCTTCTTGCTGTACAGCCCCTGGCATGCACCTGCCAGCACATATTCACATGCTCCCTCATAGATGCTACACTTTGATCTTCTGAGAAGAGGTTGTGGATTCTTTCTATCCTCAGTACACACCAGCTGCACACACAAGTGAGGCTGCCCTCGCTGATGGAGCCCAGGCAGGGGGAAGTAATGCTTACACACCCAACACAGCCCAGCTGCACAGTTTCCTTCCCAGGTTGTTCCTGCCTGATATTAATCAGGTCAGGCATCTGCCCCTGCCCCAGCTTCCTTCAAATGAGCCCTAAGCTAAAGCCTCTCTTGTATGGCCCAGTGCCTCCTCCCCTGCTTTACTGTGCCAGCCCTTGCAGAGGTGCAATCCTGCACAAATGGTTTCTTACATAGCTGCAGGGAAGGGCACAGGTATAGCACAGTGTCAGGGCTTCTGAGAGAGACCAGGGTTTCCTACATTTTTATAGACAGGCCCCCATACCTGGCCTGCCCAGTCACCCGAAAGCCCTTGATAGTGGTGGTGGTGGAAGGGTTGGTTGCCTTTGTCACTTCCTTGTACCAGTACCTTGCCAGAGGCACTTGGTAGACACACAGCCTGGAGCAACTCCCTTGATGTCCCTGTGCCTCTGTCCCCATCGATGCCTACAGTAAAAATGTACTCCATGTGGGTCAAAAAGATTTTGTGCTCCACAAATGGGAAGCACTCTGATGAGTTACAGCAATGACATTAACAGTTTACGGATGTCACCAAGACAATGTAGTTCCCAGTGCTCGGAGAAGCACTCTACCTCCAGGACAGCCCAGAGGCTGACAGGGCCCAAGCTAAGTGGGTTTCTGGGCAGAGGCCCTTCCTGGCCACTCTATCCGAGGTGCAGTTGCACAGAAGCCAAGATGACCTTGGCAGGCTGGGGGAGAAGGGGAAGGGATTAGGCTTAATTTTGGCCTGGCAGTGGGCGGAAGCTGGCTCTGAGGTATGGGATGTTTACATGAGGCAGGTGGGGGACTGTCCTAGTGAAAGAGCAAGTTCAAGGCTGAGACAAGCAGGGACAAGGGGCAAGATCCCCTCCTGTGCCCCTGGGATTTTGAAAGGTCTCAGGAAACTAGGCTCTGCCTCATAATGCCCTCTAACGACCACCTACCACCTGTCCCACCCTGCACCATGTCCTCCTCTCTCACATGTGCAGGCTGAGGGAGGACTGCAATGGGCACCTGGGAATGCAGCTCCCCAGGCCCTTAAGCAGCCAGGGCTGGGGGCTGTTCAGGGTGCCACTTGCAAGGGGTGGGTACTCTGTAGTGGGTGGGGGCACGCTAACTGAGACCATTTTTCTTAAGACCGAAAATGGGAAAAAGTGGTAATGTGCAGAAGAGCCCCCTCATCTTCCACAGACATCTCTTAAACCCACACAGAAGTACATGTCCAGTTGCAGTCACATGAGCAGTTTCCAGACAACCACAGCAGCCAAGGCCACAGCTGCATCTGCATCTTCAGTCACCCACAGAGATGCACCATTTTAGGCACACACATGCACGCGTGCGCGCACACACACACACACACACACTACAGATGACAGACTGAAGGACCTCTGGCACATATGTCACCAATCTCCCAGGCAGGCGGGGGCGCAATCCACAAGCGGCATCGGTAAGGGGCGCTAGGGGCCAGGGCCAGCAATAGCTTCACCTTAGGTCACGGAGTTGGGAGTGGGCTGGAAGGAGAGACACGTGGCGCGGAGGGTGCGCAGTGGTGGTGCCACTCACCCGGAGGAGCCCGGGGCGCCTGGCCTTGGCGGTCAGCGGAAGGCCAGCAGGAAGACCAGCACGACATTTATGAGGACGAGGAGCGCCAGCACGGCGAACACCACCACGAGTTGAGCGCCTGGTGGCAGGTTGCAGCGCAGCACAGCGCGCAGGGCGCTTCCGGGGGCTGCGGGGCGGTGCCCGGCCTGCGGCACCCTGGCCATCTCTCGGTTCAGGACCCAGAGATCCCAAGGCGCGGGGACACAAGCACGCCAGGAGCGCCGGGAGAGGGCGGCGCCGCCGTGCTTTCAGTCCGTCTTCTTCAGCGCAGGCTGCAGGTCCCTGCACGAGGTGGGGTGGGCAGGCAGCGGTCACGAGGGCTCAAGGTAGCGCAGTGCTCTGACCTCAGCGAATCCGTGGGATGGCTCAGGGAACCAGCGCTGCCAGGCGCACAGATGGTGGCTCTGGGGTGCCATGGGCCTTGCAGATACAGGCATACCTGAGCCGTGTGGATGGGCCAGGTTCTGATTCCTAACACCAAGAACTGCACTTGGCCCGCACTCCACAGATAAGTAAATGCAGCTCTGAAAGGTCAGTCATCAAATCACACAGGAATACAGGGATGGTGAAGCTAGGATTTAAACTGGGCAGACTGAGGTTGATCCACGCTGAGGCACTTCAGGAAGGCCCTGACTCAGGATCTCTCTTTACTGACTTTGCCCGTCAGAGAATCATTTTGTTCTTGTAGGAAAGCAACTGGCTTCTTCGGCTGCTAACCATCCCAACCCTCCCAGTTTTATTGAGGTATGACAAATAAAAATTGTATATATTTAAGGTGTACAACTCTATGTTTTGATATAGGTATTCATTGTGAAATAATCACCACAATCAAGCTAACTACCATACCCATCACCTCACATTGTTACCATTTTGTGTGGGTGGTGAGAACACTATTGTCTCAGCAAATTTCAAGTGTACAATACAGTATTATTAACTATAGTCACTATACTGTACATTACATCTCCAGAATTTATTCATCCCACATAACTGTAACTTTGCACCCTATGACCAACATCTACCTATTTCCTCCCTCCCCAAGTCCCTGGTAACCAACATTACTCTCTGTTTCTGAGTTTCACTTTTAGATTCCACATGCGAGAACGTACAGTATTTGTCTTTATGTGTCTGGCTTATTTTGCTTAGCATAATGTCTTCCAGCTCCATCTGTGTTGTAACAAATCACAGGATTTCCTTTTTTTTAAGGCTGCATTATATTATATATATATAAACTCAGGTTTTCTTTACCATTTATCTGTCAAAGGACATTATGTTGTTTCTATATCTGGGCTATTTCGAATAATGCTACAGTGAACATGGGAGTGCAGATATCTCTTAGACATCCTGATTTCTTTCTTTTTTTAATATACCCAGAATTGAGATTGTTGCCTTATATGGTAGTTCTGTTACAAGATACTGAAAAGCTGGAAAAATTCCAAGGCAGGAGGAATAGGGAAACTGAGACAAGAAAATTAAATAAGACCAAACAGTTTGGCAGCCTGCAGCCAGCTTGTAAATAGCAAGCCCTTGTCTTCCCCCAACTAAGGACACTTGAGAGCAAATGGTTAATGTCTGTCCAAAGAATGCAGGAGAAGAGGAGGGAGGGTAGGGGGAGAGAAGGGGCATTTAATGCTTCTTCTCCCCAATCAGAGTATACATGGTATAAGTCACCCTAAAACTAACAGCAGAGAGGAGGGAGGAGGGAGAAGGAAAGATACAGTCTTATCTTCTCCCATAGTTTAAACAGAAAGCCAGCAGTCTCAGGATTTAATTGCCAGATGCTTTTCATAAATTCTGAGAAAGCCATAACAAAGTAAATGAGAGAGAGAGAGACCTTCAGAGTTAACCTGTACCAGGATATCTAGCAGAAAAATTTAAAATCTATAGACAGAAAAGTGTATAAGGCAAGAAACCCCCTACTCCACTTGCTCTTCAGATTAGCTGAGAGCCCATCTACACTTCATAAGCCAGATGTATATATTCACTTGCCTAGCTGCTTAAATAAAATTGCATGCTTTAATATTTTAATAAATTGGCTTTATCACAATGCAATCATCCAGGGTCACTCGTTTGCATTCATTCATATGAGCATAATAAGAATCGAGGTGGGGGGGTATGGATAAGATGGTGGCAGATTGAGGGGAAGCTACACTGACACTCTCCTAAGACCAAACTGAAATTACAACTAAAATATAGAAAAACCATCCTGAATAATCAACTGGAACTGAAGGCTAGCTGGAGAGCACCCTCATAAGCAAGGACATAGAGTGGAGACCACATAGAGACTGGTAGGAAGTGTGAAGGCATGAGAGGGCTGGCCGGGATCCCACAGGCAGCAGCTGAAGGTCCAGAGGGATATCTCAGCTGTAGGGGGGTTCCCACTGAGAAGTATGGGGCCTAAACCCCAAGCTGGGCTTCCCAGCCCAGAGCACCAGAACTAAGAACAGTGCCCACATAGCAACTGGCTGTGAAAAGCAGCGTGGTTTAAGTCAGCCAGGGAGAGACAGCTAGAAATGCAAGCACCCTCTTAAAGGGCCAATGCACAAAGTTTCATTTGCAGCCACTCATCCTTGGGCTCTGGCAGAGGGAGAGCAGAGTGGACTAGAGCTGTTTGAGGAGAATCCAGGAGCACTGGCTGGGAGAATAGAGCTCAGAGGGCAGCCATCTGGATTTCTATGCTGAATCATCCCCCCATACTGCAGAGGACATCTTTCTTAGGCAGACATTTTACCCCTCAAGAAGCTTTTGCCTGGGGGAAGCAATTGTCCCACCCTGCTGGAAAACCTTTCACCCTACCTTCTGGAGTTTCTACAGCCTAAGGCTCCTTAAAAGACTGATAACAATCAGCCACCCCACCCTGTGGAGTTTCTACAGCCTGAGGCTCATTAAGAGACTAAAAAACAGCCTTTGGGTGCTTTGAATCTTTGCTTGATTTGCTTCTGGATTCAGGGCTTGGAAAGCAGACCTGGGTTTGCATCTTGGTCCTGTCCACACACACCCAGCCCAGCAAAGGGAACCACAAGTTGTGGAGTGTGGAAAACTTCAAACAGGGTACTCAAGGCCAGTCACAAACAGCATCTGACATTGGCCTCTGCCAGAGACCATCCAAATGACTGGAGTCTTAGCAGATCTACCTAATACATAGAAACAAACCCAAACAGGCAGCCAAAATGGGGAGACAAAAAAACAAGCCCTAAATGAAAGAACAAAAGAATTCTCCAGAAGAAGAACTAAATGAAATGGAGATAAGCAATCTATCAGATATAGAGTTCAGAATACTGATCATAAGGATGCTCAATAGCATGAGAAAAGAAATGGATTATGCATATATGCATATAAATTCTTAGGTTAATCTCTCCCCATTCCCCCACCCNTTCCATGCTTCTATGTCTCTGGATCTATTTTGTTCATTGGATTCCACATATGAGTAAGATCACATGATACTTGTTTTTCTCTGACTGGTTTATTTTGCTTAGCATAATATTCTCCAGGTCCCACCATGCTGTCTCATAGGGTAAGGGAACCTTCTTTTTTTACAGCTGCATAGTATTCCATGGTGTAAATGTCCAAGAAGATGCTTGATATGATTTCAATCTTCTTGAACTTGTAGAGACTTGTTTTGTGTCTTAAAATGTGGTCTATCTTTGAGAATGTCCCATGTGCACTTGAGGAGAATGCATATTCTGCAGATTTAGGGTGAAATGGTCTGCAAATGTCGATTAAATCTATCTGATCTAGTATGTCATTTAAAGTCACTGTTTTTCTTCTTGACTGAAACATCACGGATATGGCCTTCACTGAGCACTTGTTACCCTCCACTTTCCCCTCCCCAATTTCCTGTATTTGAGATAAACAAAACTGGTCTCAACTAGATTCAGCAGCCATTCTGAACAAGGTCATTATATGATCTTTATAATAAATTGATATCAAGGTTTTGGGGCCTCCCCAAACCCCAAATCACCACTAAAGTTCCTGGAGGACCAAGAAGGAAATCACTATCTGGAGAGGAGGGATGAACACAAGCCGCCAGAAGTCACCCCACGAACATCAGAAGCCTGAGGACCACCCTCCCCTCCTCCGACCAACGTTTAATAAAAACTTTCTACCCAGACACCATGGGGCGTCTTGTTCTCCAAGGTCACCAGCACTCACTTCTCGAGTGCATTATATCACTTTAATAAATTTACTGTTCTTTGCTAAATGTTTCTGTCATGCTCCCAAATCCTTTCTTGGGCTGTGATAAGAACCTGGACTCTAGTATCAGGTTGAGGCCTCCTTTGGACTCCTCAGGTACCACCTGGCATCACTAGGGTCAAATGCTCTGGAGAAGACAGATGCACTTGGGAGAAAGTCAAATGACTCCACGGAGCAGCAGTCACGAGCTGGCTTGCATCTAACAATATACTTTATGTTTTTGATAAAGAAGTACTGGGAGTGTGAGGACAGCAGGGCTTCTAACCTCAGTGGCCCTATGGCTTGGTGGGCTGGGCAATCATGCTCCCAACCTGCTGTGCTGGCCTGATATTTGCAGAGCTCCTCCTATGCTACAAGACAGAGACTGTGGACATCTATGCCTGCATGAGTGCTGGAGTCATCTTGACAACCAGGCCATCCATCCCAGCCCCCTCCCTTTATCCACATAGCCCTGAATCTACCTCATTGGTGGCCAGCTGCTCACTGCCCCATCCAGGGTGGCTGGAGTGGTGGCTGAAGCTGTGCACATCCTCATAAAGTTCCTCTTCACTCCCTGTATTGTCAGCAGGGATGGTCATGTCCAGAGCTCCATCAGGGATGTTGGAAGGAGAGAGACCCATTGGCAAAGTGGAGCTGAGGGAAGGGGGCATGAGGAAAATAGCACAAAACTTTTCAGGGTAAATGTTCTTTCTTTGAGAGGAGGGAGTAGATCTGAAACTAGTTTCTCAAACCATTCTTGTTGCAAAAACACGGTCTGGTTGAAAGAGCGCACTGGTCAACTTTCACACCATCACTTTAATCACCTACCATTTGGTTCCCACCAACTCTGTAAACAAGGAAACCCAAATATCTGCCATAGCATGACACTCAAGAGTCCCCACCAGTTGAATCCAGTTCAAAACCATTTACTAGTGTGTCAAGTATAGTATAAGGCCCTTAAAAAATATGAACATTATGAAAAAATATTATGAAATATATGTATATAGTATACCCAAAGAAATATACATTATATAGATGCAAAGTTTGGAAATTAATAAAATAAACACCCATGGTACTTATCATCCTGCATAAGAGAAATACCAGAATCTTAGAATTCAACCTCTTGTATACCCTACTCCAATCCTATGCCCTTTTATCTCCTTTAGAGAAATGTCCAATATTCCCAAATTTTAATAAATCACATGCTTGTCTTTGTTTCACCATTTTTAAAATATGTTTTATTGATTTTTAGAGAGAGAGGAAAGGAGATGGACAGATAGAAACATCTATGAGAGAGAAACATCATTGATTGGCTGCCTCCCTCATGCCCCTAGTGGGGATTGAGCCCACTTGGTTCCTGGGTTGACCCTCAACTACTGAGCCACACCTGGCCAGGCTGTTTCACCATTTATTTCTGTTGACTTTTGTATGGTTTGACCTTATATAAGTAGCTTTTCTTTTCTGACTGGCTTTTTTTTGTTCAACTGCTCGTGTAGCTGTGATTGATTCATTCTCTCTGATGCACAGTCTCGCATTTTATGACTATTTCAAATTTTACATGTCCATTTTACTTCTGGAGAACAGTGGATTGTTTCCTATATTGTGACTAGTATAAATGATGGTGCACCAGACATTCTACACACCTCCTGAGCACACATCTCAGAGTTTCTCTAAGACAATGTTTTGCAACCTCTTTTTCATTATTGCACCCTAAAGAGCCTTATATTCATTGTTTTTCCTAATCCTCCAAATGAAATTTTAATACCACAAATATACTGAATATTGTTTTGTACCGTGACTCTTGGAGGGCCACAAAACCATTGTGATATTTAAGATTTTTGTCTGCTTTGGAGAAACCAAAACCCCTGGTGTAAATTCATAGTCTAGGGTACAGACATCTAGGTGTGGCATCCCTGCGTCCCAGGTACACCAAACTGTTTGCCAAAGCTACTCTACCAATTTAGACTTCTAACAGTAAGTATGACTGTTCCCATCATGAAAATCAATACTCAGAAACCTCATTTAAACTGGAGTTGGGAGGCTAGAAGACAGAACTCTCACCCTTGTGTCATTTGACATATGAAGAGATGTGCTTTTCATCTTAGACAGGAAGTAATACCACTTTACTATATCAGCAGAAGAAAGAAAAGAGTCCTCCTTGGCCAGTAAGAGCTCAACCAATGGGACACTGCCATAGCTCAGCCAATGGGAGATTGCAGTAACTCAGCCAATGAAAAGTCACAATACTTCAAACTTTCATTTTCCTGCAATGAACTTTTTGTTTATAACAGCTCCTTCTAAGTCTATAAAAGAGGTTTCTTTCTTTTGTTTCTCTGGACATCTAGTGGTTTGTCCTTATACCACATGTTACAAATTGCAGTTTATTTTATTATTTTATTTTAATTTTTAAAAATTTATCTTTATTTTGAGAGTATTGCAGATGTCCCCCTCATTGCCCCCTCCACCCAACCCTCACACCACCCAGGCCTTCACCATACTATTGTCTGTGTTCAGGGGCAATGCATATGTGCATATAAGTTCTATGGTTGATCTCCTTCTGCTCCCACCACCCCCCCTTCACTCTATGAGTCATCAGGCTTCCATGTCTCTGGATCTATTTTGTCAGTTTATTTTGTTCATTAAATTCCACATATAAATGAGATAGTGATATTTGCCTTTCTCTGACTAGCTTCTTTCAATTAGCATAGTAATCTCCAGGACCCTCCATGTTATGTAGTTTGTCATTAGAACACATATCCCAAATTGCATTTTTTTTAATTATTTTTTTTAATTAAATTTATTTGGGTGACATTGGTTAATAAATTATACCAAATAGCAATGTTTGCTGTTCCTGATAAATCCATTTTGATGGTGAATATTTGGTTATTTGTTTAAGGGCAACACAATTTGGTGGCCCACTGAGGTTCCAAGAAGACCCTGACAGCTACAAGGTTGGTGAGCAAACAGGTGTGGTACCCACAGAACCCACTGAGCTCACTGTTTCATTGCCCATCTTGGAGTTTGAGGATAAGTCTTTCTCCTAGATCTTCGCTTCTACTCTCTGCATTTTGATGCTCTCCAGGCTCTATTTGGCAATCTCACTTAGGACTTCATCCTTTTCTGGTTGAGGCCTTGTTTTGTCCATGAGTACTCAATTGGCACTTTGGCCTGAATCTTCTAAAATGAAGCTGTTTCACTGGAACTGTGCTATTCAGCCTTTGGTCTATTTCCATTTATAGCTGGTCTGTTCCTAGTGGAACAGTGCTGATATTTGGCCTGCAGGCCATTTAGTCTTTTGCTCTAGAGATTTATGTTTAGCAACCGTGGTTCTTTCTTTTGTGCAACTCTAACTAAATGGACTGATTTGACCAAAAGTAATTTAGAATACCAACTGCCATTATGGAAAACTTTTGAACTTTTATTTTTCTTAAAAAAAAATTGGACAACTTTAAGTCTGATATTTTCAAAACTGAATGTAATGCCTATATTGATTGGTATTTCAAGGCTTCCTTCAGATGTTAATTCCACTTGGGCAGCTTTTAACTTTATATTTATTAACAGGCTGAACTGAGACCTTTCCCTGTTAAAAGGTACCAGGATGGAATGAGAGACCATGTCCTCTCTAAAGTCAGTCAATTGGCAAATCAGCTTGCTCACATGCTAGATGAGTCATCTGAAAGAAAAAACACTAATATCCTTAATTTTCAACTCCAGCAAATGAAGGGCCTTATATGAAACCAAAACTTTCTCATTTCTGCTATGATTGCAAAGGTCCAGGACATTAGAAAAGTGATTGTCACAAATTTAAGCACTTCAGGTGCCTTTAACCTTCTAACCAGCCTTCTAATTTCCTCCTAATTCCCCATGCGAGGGCTCAGAGCAACTCTAGGGGCTCTTCCCAATCCTCCTTCTTAACTAGCTTAGAGAAACTACTCTCCAGATTGGAAATGAATCTCTCTCTGTCTTTATTTATACAAAAGCCACACTATCAGTGCTCAACCCCACTCACTACTATAATGCAGCCCCTGCTTCAGAGTAATAAAACAGTTCAAATCTGGGCAGAATCTCTAATACACTTAAACAAGTTCCTGTCTACAAACCCATTTCTTGGGTTTCTTCTTAGATTTCTTAGACTTCTTAGAGAAGTATCAAGCCATAAGGTGGAAATAATTCCAGAACTTGACATTAGCCATCAAAATAACCAATCAACCCTGGCTGGTGTTGCTCAGTGATTAGAGTGCTGTCCTGTGCACCAAAAAGTTGTGGATTCAATTCCCAGTCACATTGATGTTTTTTTCTCTCTCTCTCTCCTCCTTCCTCTCTCTAGAATCAATGAAAAACATATCCTAGGTGAGAATTAAATATATCCACTGAGGTGAATTAAATGGCCCTTTGATATCTTTTATTTGCTCTATTTAAATAGCACTGCAGCTGAATCTGGAAGCACTAATCATTTGTCCCTATTGAATCAGCTACCATCCTCTTTATGGGCAAAATCTCCAACTGATATTGGCAGAATCCATGGTGCACCTCCCCTTCAAGATTCAAATAGAGCCCTCAAAACCCCTTCCCAGAATAAATCCATCAATAATAGAAGAGTACAAGACTCAGGGCCTCATTTTCCCTTGCACTGGTCTCTATAAAACTTTTATATTACCTGTGAGAAAACCCTAGAACCAAAGGTGGTGGTTTGTGTAGGACCTCTGAACAGTGAACATTGTTATCCCTTAACACCCTGTTGTGCCTAACCCTTATATGCTTCTAGTGTCCTTCCCAACTGAATGTAAATTCTTTACTGTAATTGATTTATGATGCGCATTCCTTAACATTCTGGTTGATGAAGTTAGCCAATACTTATTTTCCTTCGCTTGGGAAGGAAAATAATTCACCTGGACAGTAATGCCTCAGGATTTTACTGAGAGTCCTTATTTCTTGCAAATCCTGAAGGCTGATCTGGGTGATGTAAAGTTCCCTAGGAGTTCTATTTTCTTGCAATATGCAGATTATGCTTTTTTGCTCTTCCAAGTTTCATCAATAAAAGACAGCATCCACTTGCTAAATGTTTTAGCTTTTAAGGAACATAAGGTCATCAAGAAAAAGCTGCAGTTTGCCCAAACCTAAGTTAGATATTTAGGGAATCTGATATCAGAACAAGGGCTGCACCTTGATCCTGATAGGCTTCATTGGGTCCTAAGTTTTCCCAAACCCAAAACTAAGCATCACCTGTGAGGTTTTCTTGGGTTAGTTGGTTATTGCCAAAGTTGGACCTAAAATTTCTCTCTTAGGGCCAAACCTCTGTATATTTTATTAACGAACAACAACTTTGACCCAATTTTATGGGAAGGCCAGGATGACATAGCCTTTAAAACTTTAAAAAGGGTTTATTGAACCCACCTGTCCTTGGGCATTCCAACCATCAGATTACCCTTTTTATTTTTGAATATGAAAGAAAGAGAATGTCACTGGGGTACTCACCCCCAAAACATAGGGAACACCATCAACCTATGGGGTATTACAGCCAACAACTGGATGTTGTGGCATGGGAATAGCCCCCTTGCCTTTGAGTCATTTTTGCCACTGCCCTTTTGGTTAAGGCCACTGAGGAAATCATTGTGAGATCCCTTTTAACCATCTTTGTACC